ACGTTTAACAGAAAACAGTAATCACTATCATTATGTATGTTTTCCACAGCGCTGTGTAGCTGTGGGCTCATCAGTGCAAAAACAATCATCCACACAGAAGGAGACAGTATCACAGTGGAGTGCTCCTTCTCCTTATCTGGAAGAAAAAAGTTTCTCTGTAAGGACAAATGCGAAGAAGGAGACGTTCTCATTGAAACTGAAGGCGACACAGCTCAAAGGGGCCGATATAGCATCCAGTATGAAGAGGGATCCTTTCCAGTATCGTCTACAGTTCTGTATGTGAGCTTCACAGAGCTCACAAAGTCCGACTCTGGACGATACTCGTGTGGTTTGGAACGGCCTCTCTTACCAGACTCATATCAGGAGTTTGAAGTCAGAGTTATAGATGGTGAGTTTCTTCGTCATTTATAAATAAGGACAAATCAAAATCCTCAGTCATAATCCTCACAATGCATTGCATTTTTATGGATCAGCCATAAAGTTTTCACCATTTCGTTTCATCTGTTTTGTGTAATACAAGTGCCGCACCTGCAGATTTACCTGCAAGAACAGTCAAGACATGTTTTACTTTACAATCCGATATTGAGCCAGTATTGATAATATTAACACTTTACAATTTTAACATGAGGTTCAAAAAAACTAAACAAAAAAAAACAACCTTTTACTGTTAAAGTCTGATGTGAGCCTTTGTTTCAGACATGAAGGTCACAAATAAGAAAAATGACCTCACATGGACACTGAACAATCCCACTTAATTCTTAAGTCATGCCTTAAACCAAGTAATGGTTTAAGAAATCAATGGTTCTACTTTTTATTATCAAGATTTCTGCAAATGTTAGCTTATTGTGTTCCCGGGTAACATGTATAAAAAATATTCTGGTCCAAAAATACAGTAATTGGTGGCGACGGTGGATGTTGCCAAAACCCTTGTTTCATTTTTTTTATAGATTACAGACAGCTGCTGATCTTTTAAATGTCATATTATTATATTTAAATCAATAAACTTAGTTGTTGGTCATAAAGTATTGCATGCATCATGCATCTACATTAATTAACTGGTTTATTTTGTTATTCACAGCCTTGAAGACTTTCCCTGAGACACTGAGGCAGCTTGAACAGCAGCAGACTGACGAAACCGCTCAGGCTCTTAGTTTCAAAGGTACGAGTGTGCACAGCTGCCTCTCTCATATCTACAGAATATTTTGTTATTTATAACAAAATGTAAAGATTACTTCAAGTTTTTAAACCCTTATTTTAGGAGTCAGTCAGAAAGCTTGACTTGTGACTCTCTGGAGTGTTTTTATTGTCTGGTACTGAGTGAAATAAAGTTGATTCCTTGGACTTGGGAGCTGAGAAAGCACAAATAAGCATGTTGAGAACAAACCACAAAAAGAACTCCCTGTATTTTCCTTGTCCTTGAAAATAGTTGTCATCTGACTGCTCTTGTATATACAGATTCATGACTATATACACAAAATGCAAATTCTTCACTTTTAAGCTGTTAAAAGTACATTTTTGAAGGCAGACGTGGTTGGAAGTAGCATAAATAAACTTTATATACTGTCTATATATTCTACATCAAAAGGTATTTAAGTGGGTAAAGTATTCACTTAAATAATGATTTAATTATTAGTCATTTAATTTTTCTGATGTTTTCTTTTACTCCTCTGTCTCTTCTTACCTGCTCAGCTCATGTCCTGCCTCTGGTCACATGTGTCACTGTGCTGTTTGCTGCTGTTGTGTTGCTCTTCTACAAATGGATCAGAATAAGGGAGACTGATGGTGAGTGGCTCTCTAGCTCAATATTAATAATCTTTTAACTAAACAGAAAAAGAAAAGAAACAAAAAGCTTTTGTATTTGCGCTCCACAGGTTTGACCACCAGGAGGCAGTCAGACACAAAGAACAACACAAGCAGAAACCTGGAGGTGAATCATCTCTGTTTATGTCTAAATTCAGAGGCTGAATGTATATGAATGTAGAACTAATACTTTACACTGTGTTGTCAGTTTTCCACATGCAGGAAGTGCTCTCCAGTCTCTGGATGTGCAGACTTCACCCCCCCAGTGGATGAAACCTGCAGCAGTCATAATAAAATCTACTGTAACCTCTGAACCTTTGTTTCACCTTCTCACCATCAGAACTAATGCAACTAAAACGATCTAATCACTCACCAAACAATTTATTAGGAACATCTTGCTTTTACCAGGTTGGGGCCACTTGTCCCATGCTGGAAGCACCTGCCGTGTGGTCATAAGGTGTTGTACATGTTTAGCAACAATACTCATGACGGCTGTGCCACTTAAACAATGCACAGTTGGCACTAAAGCCCCTTTTCCATTAGTGCCTATTCGACTCGCCACAACTCTACTTGTATGTGTGCGCTTGTCGTCAAACGCATCTCTTATGACTCGAGTGATGCTCTTAAAGGAAGCAGCTAAAAGAAAGGGAACATTAAGATCAGAAAAACATCTTGAATCCCCAAAAGACTGTTTATATGTGATATAGTGTTTGTTCAGTTTGCTTATAAATGTTATAATTGTGCCAAAAAGGACCTCCCAAGGTGTATAACCTAATAAACAAACCAGTCTTTATTTAGGTGAAAAACTGAAGTCCATAAAAATCCACAAAGAAAACTCAGAAATGACTCCAAAATCTTCCTGAGCTCCAGAAGCACACATGAATAGGCAAAATAAGCAAACTACAGAATAAGGAGAACAGTACACAGGGTTGAAATTCAGGCCAAAGACACAGATGATCTGACTAAGGAGAAAGGGGAGACAATTAATTTATATACACACAGTAGGCAATAAGGAAAGACTGACAATAACTAAAGTGTCAGGCTGTGTGGCAGGCAGGACGAAGGAGCAGGATTCAAGACGGAGGATTAAAATCAAAACGGCAGCTTTTATTGCTGGAAAAAACTAACATCAAATGCGAAACTAAACTAGAAACAGGAAACAAGAAACTTCAACAAGAAAACAAACCAGAATCTGTCAACTTGGCATAATGAGGGACAACACAACAAAGAATAAGGGAAAACCCAGGGCTTATATAAACAGTGGGATAACAAGGGAATGAGACACAGGAGGAGAAAACAGCTGGGAGTAATCAGACTTAATAAGACAAAAAAAAGCAAAGCAGAATCCAATGACTAAAAACAGACTGTCAAAATAAAAGAGGAAGTATAAAACAGAGAAGCGGACTCTACACTGAGGCAGAGGCAGAGGATTGAACCATGGGACGGGGAAAAAGCACAGAGTAGATATAACATGGACACAGGGAAGGCACACTGACTGAAACTATAAGCTAGAGCAACACAATACAACCTCAAAACAACTAAAACCATGAATAACAAATAATGAAGAAATATTAATTAAACACAAAACACTGGGTCACACCCAGGACCATGACATTGAGAATTACACACAGCTGAACAAGATCAGATAATGAGATTTGAGAAAGTAAAATAAAAACAAGGCACAAAAGACAAAGACTGTCAACTTAAAACAGAAAGTAAACATGGCAGAGAAACAAGAAACAAAGTATACAAGGGAAGACAAATCATTACAACAACATGATGTCACAGCCCTGGGCCTCGGAGGGAGTGAGACCCCCCTTTGCTTCAAGCAAATCCAAGAGTGCAAGGACTCGTTGACAATTGGTTAATTGGAGTCCTGTGCCTCCCTCTCGTATGCAGATTGAAGTGTGACAGCCCACGCAGATGATTGGCTGCCTGGGGATCCCATGGTAATCCAAGAGGCAACGAGTGGCTGATTGTGTGCACCTGCGGTTATAAAAGGCTGAAGCGCCTTCACTCTATTCACTTCTTTCGAATCAATGATTTTAGATGTTATTTTTTTCTCTTTTTATATAAGCAAATATGTGTTTTTGTGCTTGAGTAAATTAAAGCCCAATTTAAAAAATATAAGATATACTATGTTTCTTATAATCATGATGATTTTCTTTTGCGTTTACACCAAAAATCCTGTCAAGTGGAATCAAAACATTCTTGTATGCATAAAAAATTCCTGCAACACATTTTGGAAAACTTTATATATGTAATATGAGACAGAAAATGGCATCATATTTTTATTTGAAAATCTTGTTTTCTGTAACATGCTTTGCTGACTTTTGAGTTGTCTAGTTTAGAGTTAATAAAATCGTACATACAGTAGAAATCAGAGTAGAATCAGTCTTCATCTGTATAAGTGCACCCTATTTACTACTGTCTTGCAGCCACTCGAGGCAAATACTTGCTCCAGTTTGGGGTGATAGACTAAACTTCTGGCCACCTGGTCTGCCACATTTTCATCTGGCTGAAGACCTTTGTCTCTCATCGCAGCCATCGCACACTGTACAACATGTTTGTACTCCAGAGGCAGGAATGGGATGAAAACATCAAGCAGACAACTGTCAATCAAAGTTGACTTTGAAAAACTGCCTACAAAGAGAGATTTTCAGTAAGGAAGATGATCATCGTAAGTGGTGAACGATAAAGACATAAGGATACACTCACTTTGATCACTGTTGAAAACTATAGGAGAAATGAAACTTTCAAAATCTTTGAGCATCATCTCTTCTCGATCTTTTCCATTTTTCCAGAAATCTACAGCTGTTTTTGTAATTTGATCTGCTCCTGTATCGCTGTGAGAAAGAAAAAAGAAATAGTAAAAACATAAGAAGTGTCATAATGTGAATGAGCAACTGGTCCGTTTTCAAATATTTTGTATTTTATAATAGGTGCTAACAAATATAACTATATATAACTATAATATATTTTATAGATAGTAGATGCTAAGATAGCATCTTAGTTAGTTTGTTAGTTATCACTTTTCTGATCACATGCCTGTTATCATCCAGATTTCGGTGCCATGTCCTCCAGTTAAACCTCTTTTACCTGCGCATGAATTCTGCATCATAACTCCTGCTACTGCTGGACATTTCTCGGCTGTGTATCAGAATATTGGTGTCCCTTCCTTGGACAATTGTTCCCTTAAACCGCATGCTGATCATTTGCTCACTTTGTTCAATACCACTTGTTCAAATGTTCTTGATATTGTTGCTCCTTTTAAATAAAACAAGTTTAATAGGTCTAAAATGATCCTTGGTTAAACTATGTCACTCGGGCTGTCAGAAGGACGTGCAGAAAAGCGGAAAGAAAATGGAAAAAGATCAACTCCAGATTTCCTTTGATTTGTTAAGGGAAGCCCTATTTCTTTATCAGGATGCTGTTCGAAAAGTATTTATCAGATATAATCTCTAACCACAGCTACAGGCCCCGTGTCTTATTCAACACCATTAATTCTGTTATCAACCCTCAACCCACCTCACACCTACCAGGGTCTCCAGCCACCTGTGAAAACATTTTTATGTTTTTCTGTCGATAAGGTTGATACTATCAGGTCTCATATCTCTCCTCCAGGTTATGATCCCTTTGTTCCCCTGATTTCCTCAGTTGTGTTTGATCACTTTGAGCCTTTTTCAGTGAGCACTCTGCCCGAAATAGTCTCCCATCTTAAACCCTCTATGTGTCACTTTGACTTTTTTGTTTTTTCTTTCTCACCAAATGGACCATCCCAGCCTTGCCATATTGGTCTATTTGATTCACCTTTGATTTAACTGATTATTTTATTTTATTTTCACTTGCTGAACACAGGACAGACTTGACTGGGGAAAAGAAAAGGGAGAAAGAAAGAGGGAAAGAAAAATAGCGGGGAAGAGGAACGGTGATAAAGGGCAAAAAACAAAAACCAACAAAACAAACTGACAAAAAATACATAAATCAATCACCTGTTGAGAAAGAAAAAAGAGAAAACAAGCAAAAAAAGAGCAATATAATAAACAACATCATTGCGATGATCTATGCAAATATAACAGTAAATACTAAATATTGAATGTTGTTGTGCAGCATGCAGGACCGACAGCGCACAGTGTGCTTTGAGGTAGGAGCCGAAAAGGGTGTAGTTTGTGTGTGTGAGCACCCGTGTGTACACCTGTGAGCATGAGCGCGCTTGTATTTAAAAGGTTCCTTCATGTAATGATCTGCTAGAGGGTGTGGGGGGGCCATAGCCCCATCCTCCAGGGCATGAAGCAGGTATGGAGGAGATCCAGGCTCCAGACATCCAGTGGCCCTCAGAGCACAAGAGACCAAGGAAGACCAACGGAGGGGCAGCCGCCACTATCCCAGAAAGAGCTGAGGAGAGCCCCAGATGAGGGGTCACTCAGCAGCCGCGGAGCAGAAGCCAGAGGGGGTTGCAGTGATGTGCCCGTGAGCTCCGCCGGCAGCCAGCTGTGCCTGAGTGACCGAGCCCCAGGCCGAGAGGTCGAGGGCACCCCACCCCCGAAGTGGCCCAAGCGAGCCCCAGGCTCCAGGCCCCGACAAGCAGCCACCAGGAGTGAGCCGGTGCGTACCTGGACGCCCATCCCCGAACACAAAGAACCACCAACGCACCGATGTCTGAGAGCGTCTGCCACTGGCAGGGGGAGTGGTGGAGGGAGATAGGCCTCCATACCTTGGATGGCCTGAGATGTCCCTAGAGAGGTGGCATCTGATACCCGACCTGACATATATTGTAACAAATTAAGTTATTTTACCAGTCCCTAACAAAGTGGAAGCATTAAACTTACCCTCTGGAAAGGCTTCCAGATTTTTACCTGAGAAAGATGATGATCGATTTTTGAAAAAAAACTCCTTCCACTTTTCCATAGTCCAGATATGGCTTTATGCTGTCAATCAAACCAGGAGGAATTTTGTCCATCTCATCAAATATGAACATTGAGCGTTCACAGTTTGTAACGTTGTTTTTGATCCACTCCTGTAACTGAGACTGAGGAGAGAGATGCAAATACAATTAATACAGACAGAACAGACCAAACCAATTAGAACAAATAAACTGAGTTTCACTTGAAACACATGATACTCCGTACTTTATAGGTAGCAATTTCACTTCGATGGGGGAAGTGAAGTGTAGCTGAGAACACGTGAACAAACTTGCTGTGATATCCCTTCTTGTAAACATTGTCTGCAATCAGCTGGCTAACAAAGTTCTTCCCTGTGCCAGTTGGTCCGTGCAGAGAGAGCACCAGAGGCTTCTTCGGGTTATTATCCTTCATAAATCCACTCACAGATTTAAAAATGGTATTTGAAGCAATGTGTTGTCCAAAGAGTTTGTTTCCCAGGTCAGCCTCTAGACCTATAGAGTGGAAGAGTACAGAAAGTCACCAGGATCCGTTGCTAAAAAGTGACTGAAATTACACTAATCCAGTAAAATTCTACTTCCTGTGGTAACCTAACATGTCAAGTCAGCCTTCAGACCTTGAGAATACATAGCAGAAAGTCAGCAGGATTAGTGACTGAAAATGTGACTGACGTGAGAGGAGGTTTAAAAGAAAAGCTATTTGAGCAAGAGTGGACTTAGCAGATCTACCCACGCAAAAATTGAGACAAAATAAATTTTTTGTTCAGCGAATGGAGAAATTGCATAGACTGCACAAGAGCCCTGTCTACTTTCCAAAGGGGTGGGCAGGCTGCAGGCCGACAAAAATG